TGAGAACAACTTTTGGGAAAGCAAGGCTATGCGAAATTCATTAAAAACGTCAGCTCTACTCATATCATTGTGGGAAACTTCGCTTACCAGTCCTTCATCACCTTAAACGAAATAGGGTGAATACATCTCTTAAGACTTAGATGCTTTCTGTTTACTGTTGCTATATTGTTTAGACAGCTACCTACTTATTCTTTGAGTTAATATTACATGTAAATAATAATAGGTAATTATATGATTCCTTACTCTCACTTAATTTTTATCCTATTTTCTCCCGTTCGGTATGTTGCTTCTGGTAAAGTGCAACATTTATTTTTTCTCATGACGGGATAAATATTTTTGTTGTCACAATTTTTATTCATTAGTAATCCATTTAAAATCAATTTGATTTAAATAAGGAGTATATTTAGAGTTAAACTACAGGCAACAGTTGTAAATCCCTATGTTATGCTATGTTATGAGCCAAGCAGTCGAATTTCTTCATTTTAGTCATCGATTTAAATATTGTGAAAATGATAATGACGACATTTTGCAGGCTAGAATTACGATAGGTTGAAATGCCGATTTTGGCAAACTGGTGAGATTTAATGCATTGGCTAAATCTACATAAACATTTTCATCGATGCCAGGATCATAATAATGCTCATCATACCTAAATTAGGGCTAATTTATGTAGAATTATGTAGAAACTGGGTTTAGAAGAATTCCTTTATGAGTTAATGCGATTAAACTTCATTTTAAAGCAAATGTTGTTTGGAAGGAATTCATCAATTGATTGCACCGCAAACCAAAGGAGGCTAGCCTTAGAGTGTGTAGAAGTTCTCGGCTCATCGTCCTGCTGTCCCGATGTACCTGCATTGACCTTTCGTCTGTTTGACAGACATTGCTAGAACGAGGAATCATACGAAAATGTGCACAAATATACTAAACCAGTATATATTGGTGTTGGTATCCGTCACGACATATGAAGGCTTATCACGTGTTTATCGGGTCGAGAGCCTCTTCGCACAATCAAACAGTTTTCACTCCAATGCAATTCTCGTTTGGTTAGGATTAGGCCAATTAGGCTAATTTGTCATATAGGTTCTTTTTATCACTACCATTCATTTTTTCATTCTGCCCCTGCTATACTATTTCCTTTTATTACTGGGTATTCGGGCAGGCCGAGGAGATGATAAAGGCAGAAATGCTCACTATGATGCACTTCGACAACTTGCAAAATCCATTGCCAATCAGCAAATTCCAGCCACCACCGTCTGGTGATGCCTTGTCTAGTCTAACCTCTACCGGAAGTACTCAACAGCAAGTACAACTTCAGAAAAAACTCTTTAATCAATCAAGGCTTCTACATGAAGCCCATTTACGCGATAACCCGTATGAAGAGCTCAAATCAGATGAGATGAAACAGGTAATCTTGTTATACTTTTTATCTCCCA